GTCATTATGTGCCTAATTTTTGTCTTGTTTCTGTTGCTTCATGTCTTTTAGGACAGTTTTGTCTCCCATCTGTAATATTGTGTTTTGTCTTTTTACATTTAAGGACCATTTGAAAGTTAAATATCTGACTGTTCTTTCTGTTTTTGGCTAACAAATGGTGTCATATTCTAAATTTTAAGAAAGATAACAAGCCTCTCAAAGCTGGCAGCAGGTTTTGGTGTTTAGAGGCTTTAAGAGAAGCTTTGCTGAAACATGAGGCAATATCATTCTCCTTTAATTTAACTTTAACCGTGCAGCTTTCCCCACATTTCATCCCAGCAGCCTGACAGGTGACTGACATGCTGAGTTCACTACAGTGAGCTACATGCTGCTTCCACACATCAACATGTCAGCTCTCAGCTCGTGAAGCTTTAACTTCATACTAACCCTAAAAACACAGAGCGGCCCTCCAGACTGGACCTCGCTAAGAAGGCAGACTGATAAATAATTGCTGTGCAGTGTTTGCAGAAAAAAACTTCCTCTTATCGAGCATCAGCAGAAATAATTAATGTCTGTTTAATAATTAAGAGCAGAAATATCTGGAGCAGCAGAGACCGAATGTGAGGATGAAGTTGTTGCAACAGGTGAAAGCATTTAGGAAATCACTTCTAATGATGAAATACATGTGCGCACATACCTGATTCTTCTCTATTAAACTGTTCAAACTCTGACAGGTTGCAAAGGAATCATGAGTGAACAGACCTCGTCAAGTCCAGACACAAAGTCTTAGTTGGACTGAGCTCTGACTCGGCCTCCAGAACATTCATCTCGTTGTCTTTAAACCACTTGCTTTGGCTCATTGTCAAGATGGAAAACAAATCTTCTCCTGAGTCACTGTTCATTTGCAGACTGCATCACGATGTTGCCACCACCATGCTTCACATCACGATGTTGCCACCACCATGCTTCATATCATGATGCTGCCATCGCCATACTTTTGAACATGATGTTGTCACCACCCGGCTTCAAATCATCATGATGGTGCCACCACCATGCTTCAATTGGAATGGTGTGTTTGTGATGATGTGTAGTTTTCGGTGTTCGTCAAACATCGTATCTAGTCTGATGGACTAAAAGCTCCATTTTGGTCTCATCAGACCAAAGAACTTTCTTCCAGTTGACTTCAGAGTCTCCCACATGTCTTCTGGTGAACTCTGGTCCAGATTTAATGTGAGTAACAGTTGTTGTAGGAACAGTGTCTCCCATCTTGGCTGCTGAATCTTGTAACTCCTTCAGAGGACTCATAAGAGTCTTGGTGGCCTCCCTCACTAGCATCTTTCTTGCTCAGTCACTCAGTTTTTGAGGATGACCTGCTCTAGCCAGATCTACACATGTACCATATTCCTTCCATTCCTCAATGATGGATTTAACTCCAGAACACATTCAGTGACGTGGGAGTTTTCTTGGATCATCCCTTCACTTATGCTTTTCAACAACCTTTTCACAGAGCTGCTTGGTGTGTCCTTTTGTCTCTATGCTATAGTTCTATCCAGGAATGCTTTCAACAGGCAATGTAAAATAGCATCACTCAACGCATCTTGTTTCACAATAACGACACAAAGGAACAGTGGTTGAATGAATGAAACGTAGAACACCTGACAAACCAAACATCCTGTATTTTTAAGTTTTTACAGTTTGCTTCATCCTCACTGTTCAGTAAAACATCCGCTTGCTGCTGTTTTTTTGTTGTTGTTGTTTTATCAGTGAGCACTTCTCTGTGCTGGCTTGGTCAGCGTGAAGCTGTAGAAGAACACGATCTGGAAAAAGCTGGAGATTGAAGTCGACACTGATGAACTGCAGGTTGTAAACAAAGCTGCCAAACCAGCGTGTTCACTGCTCACCACAGACTGAGTTTAAAGAAGGACGACATGGCAGCTGTGCCGAGGTGAAGCCAAAATATCTGGTATTAACTCGACCTGGCCCCGTCTAAATAAACGGGCAGAGAGCCAGTTTTAGCAGTCACTATATAGACTCACAGTCAAATCTGACGAGAAAATACTTGAAACGTTTGGTGACTTTGGCCCAACAAAGGATTAAAAAGCATTTTTTTCCCACATTTTAAAATAAATTATTGTAAAAATACAGCCAAATTCAAAAAACTAGTGTCACGTTTTTTCAGAAAAAACATTAAAAACTTTAATATTTGATGTTTTTGAATAACAATTCCTGTTATTTTACAGATTTTCACAGTTTTATCTTTTGTTTTTCTTTACATTCATACATTTTAGTCACTGTATTGTACAAAAACTAACTTTTTTAAAACAATTAATTGTAATTTTTTGAACAATTTACTCATATTTTGCAGATTTATTTTATTTTATTTTATACCATTTTAGGAGGATTGTAATCACTGTACACTGCAACAACAAAAAAACTCTTAAAAAACACTTTTTTAGCCATTTTTAAACAATTTTCTGTTTTTTATTTCACACATCTTTCCTGTTTTATCTTTTACATGTTTTATATTCGTCTATATGTTTTCTTTTTTAACAGTTTCCCCCTGTCTTATCTTTTAAATCTTTATTTCACACACGCCTGTCAAACACTTTAAATAACCTTCTGTGTATGATAGCGTGCTATAGAAATAAACTGCCTATTGTGTGCTTTGTATGAGTAAATCAGGTTCTTTTCTTCTAATCTCAGCCCCACAGTGACCATTAACAACTGAGTAGTTTTTATTCTGTACAGACAAACAGCGACAGAGAGCTGCAGAGAGAAGTCAGAGAAGAATAATGGAGGACTATAAGAGTAACGGAGGGAGTCGCACTGTAAAATGTTAATTAACATAACTCTGCTCAGTGATGTTAGAAGCCTCTTTATCCTGCAGTGCCTCACATACCAAACTGTTAGAAAGATCCAAGGTTGCATCGCTTTGTCGAGCTCGAATCACATTGAAAGGAGAATTGACCACTTACTAGCTGCTTCAGTGATTTACAGTCAAACAGAGGCTGTGTCTTTATCAAAATCTGACATTTTCTAACAAGAAACAGCAGCGCAATGACACAAAACTGTGTCACTTAAGCTTTCGACTGTTTGTTTTAACATTTCCACCTGCAGAAATCTCCACAGATTCAGTCAACACCAGATCCAAAGATGCACAAAATCCACAAGGAGATGCTGAGGAGAATTTCTCAGTCAGCAGGACACACTTGAGATTTTAAAATCTGCACTCAAAAATGTAAATTAGAGAGTAAATAACAGCTGTAAAACAATGAATCAGTGGTCAAAAGAAGTCTCAGCTGCAGCTTTGTCCAATTTGATGCAACAGAAATGAAGCACTACAAGCATTTTAGCCATTTTACACTGTAAAAAAAAAAAAAAGTTAAACACTTTTTTAAAAAATTACAGTTATTTTACAGATTTTCCGTTTTGTTAAATTATTCCTGATAATAACTGACATGTTAGCTGTAAAGACCAAAAACAAAACAAAACAGGACAAAACTGATTAAACTGAATAATTTATTCTTTTACGCTTGATGGTAAAATTATACAACATTATTCTGTTTGTAATATAATTTTTCATATTATGATTTTCGGCCTTCTGGCTCTGCTTCTACAACCACCATCACCACTGATGCTACAACAGCCTGTACGTCCAGCTCACGCTCTGTTTTCCCGTCACTCGTGAACAACATCCCGACACACTCCTTAAGTTGGGGCAGACGTCACCTTAAACCCAGAGGGAGCAATCCTCCAGTTTCTGGCACAGAACCTCAGATTTGGAGGTGCTGACTCTCATCCTGCTTCGGTGCACCTTCAAGGTCCGATCACACTGAAAGAACCACATCACTCACAAAAAGCAGAATCGAAGGGTCCCATATCCCTCCTCAACCCCAGATTCATCGTTTTTTTGCTGTTATTGGTCATCACATGATCCTGCAAGTTTTCACTTCAACCACCATCATCACATCATTCACCCTCTCAGGAGCAGAAACGTAGAAAATAAAGTGAGTTTACAGCAGCTTCTAAATTTCATTCATCTGCTGCACGAAGTGTCGGTCACAGTTTGCGGTGCACTGCCTCCTTTCTCTCTCTGCAGAGCTCTTTGTTTGTTTGTTTGTTTATCTGCCACCAGCAGATTCATGCTCAAATACATCCTCAGATGGACAAAATAATAGAAACACAGCAGCACCTGAGCGTATGGATTCATCCACGGCTGAAAACAGGAGCAGAAAAATGCTCCAGGTCTTGTCATTTTAAGGGAATTGCTGGGAAGTATTTTTAAAGGAATTAAACTTTTACTCGAGTTAACAAACTTGAAGCTAAAAGCACAAACAGAGCAGTCACTGAGAGACCGTTGGTTTATCTGTTTCTACTAACTAATATAAGAAAATCACAAAATGTTCCTCCAAATCCTCCACAGGACAAACTGGCAGCATGAAAATCCTCGTTTCTCTCTGTATCAGGAGCCTAAGATCAAAATATGTTAAATGTAAGTGAACAAAAAAAAACCTAAATCCTCGTTTTTTCTGCCATCTGGAAGCAGAACCTCTCCAGAGACAAGCCACCCTTCACCCTCAGTTTATGTCTATTCATAAAATGATCCACATCAATCAACCTGCATGGAATCCACTTCAAGGACAGTCTCTGCTACAGCAGCGTTCACTGCACCTTGAACGCATCACACCACTTTAAACCTGAATAAAATGACCTCAAACACACACACACAACACTGTGGCTAACACACGCAAACTGCAACTGTGTCGGTTTTACGCACAGAGATGTTTCTGTTTGGTGCGTAAAAATAACATTTCTGACCTGTTCGCTTCATTTCTTTTACTCTCTGAAGCGTGGTTTGCTCACAGATAATGAGTCAAACCGAGATAAACTTCAGCTGTTTCTCCCAAGCAACATGTTGCATCATTAGAAGTAAAATCACAGATGAGTAGCTGCTCCTAAACGCGCCCAGCTGGGGTTTGATCGTCATTTTGTGGAACAACTTTGCAGACTCGGGAACCCACCTGCTTCGTGGATGTTTTCCTCGCAGGAGTACCAGATGCCGGTGTGGAAGCGGCGGAACAGGAAGCGGTCGTCCCCGGTCTCCCAGCTGTAGTGCACCTTGCTCTGGTCCGTCTCGTTCACGCCGTAGTCAATGCAGTTGTGGTGCCGCTGCTTGCTGCAGTTGGGTTTGGGGACGCGCTGGGTTCCTTCGCACCAGTACGTGGTGATGAAGGCGGTGGTGGAGAAGAACAGCGCCACCAGGTTCAGACCCACCGACAGCAGGGCGCGACATTTCCGCGTCGTCTTCATGATGTCGGAGCGAGCGGCCGCGTCCCCGCAGGCGGCGAGAAAGTTCATCCAAGAAGCAGAGCGGCGGAGGCGGTCAGAGGCGGAGCGGCATGGCGCGGCGGGGACGCACAAAGCGAATTACGCGCGTCTCCTCTGCGTCTTTTCTCCTGTTGGTGCCAGTTTGTTCTCAGAGCGGAGAGAGGAGCGACGCAGAACCGTGAACTATGACTGTCTTCTTCCATCTACTGCACATCTGGCAGCTTCCAGCCTCACGGAGGGAAGAGACGGAGCTGCTGCACCGGCGGACACCGGGACGGTAGTGAGGAGACGGAACGGGGACCGGAGCGTCCCTCCCTCCCTCTCTCTCCCTCTCTCTCCCTCTCTCTCTCCCTCTCTCTCTCTCTCATCGGTTGTCTGTGCGTCATCACCGTGACCGGACTGTTCACATGAGGGGAAAAAGTCACCCAGAGAGCTATAAATGATGTAAATGAAATCATGGTCAATTCAGTTTTGCACCTTTGACAAGACTTAACAAAAATGACTCTTTTATGTCAAAGTGAGAACACATTTCTACAAAGTAATGTCAGTTAATTGGAAATAAAAAAGTGTTCACCCTGTTTAAAGTGACTCACCTTATTGAACACAGGTGCAGCCAGTTGGTGCTGGAAGTCTCACAGTCAAGACTCATGTATCTGGAAGGTCTCATGGATAAAACTAGACCATAAAGACAAAAGAAAACTCCAAGCAACTCTGTGAAAGCGTTATTGAAAAGTCAGGGGATACATACAAGAAACTGTACAAGTTACTGCACACCTTGGAGTCCAGTTAAATCCATCATTGGAAGGAATGGAAGGAATATGGTACATGTGAAAATCTGCCTAAACAGGCCGTCCTCAAAAATTAAGTGACCAAGCAAAAAAGATACTAGTGAGGGAGGCCACCAAGACATCTATGACTCCTTTAAAGGAGTCAGAAGCTTCAGCAGCTGAGATGGAAGAGACTGTTCATACAACAACTGTTGGTTGTTCTTCACCAGTCAAAGCTTTATGGGAGAGTGACAAAGAGAAAGACACTGTTGAGAAAAGCTCATATTAAATCTGGACTAGAGTTCACCAGAAGACATGTGGGAGACTCTGAAGTCAACTGGAAGAAGGTTCTTTGGTCTGATGAGACCACAATAGAGTTTTTTTGTCCATCAGACTAGACGCTATGTTTGGCAGACACCAAACACTGCACATCTTCACAAATACACCATCCCCAGTGTGTTTGCCAGCATGGTGGTGGCAGCATCATGATGTGGGGATGCTTCTCAGCAGCAGGCCCTAAAAGGCTTGTAAAGGGAGAGAGCAACATCACAGCAGCAAAGTATAGAGACATCCTGGAGGACAACCTGATGCAGTCTGTAAGAGAACTGTGCCTTGACAGAAGATTTGTTTTCCTGCAAGACAATGAGCTGAAGAAAACAGCCAAAGCTACAGAGAAATGGTTTAAAGACAACAAGGTGAATGTTCTGGAGGCCGAGTCAGAGCTCAATCCAGCTGAGAATTTGTGACTTGAAAAGCGCTTTTCACTAATGGTCCCGTGTAACCTGCGTTTAAACAGTTTTACAAAGAAGAATGAGGTAAACCTGCAGCATCCAGATGTTCAGGCTGATTGAGAACAACACAGGATCAACGCTGTAGCTTCAGTCCCAAAACATCAGTTCAAGTTTGGCACAAATCTCCAGGACTAAATCAAAGACACAAGATGAATATTTCAGGTGTAAAGCTCTCATATCTGTAATAATAATGGAAGGCAGATGTGTGTTTTTGTTTTTGCAGGTGTGACGTGCTCGATGGATCTGCAGAAACCGACCAGCCCTCGGTATCGACCCGGCCCGAGGAGAGCTCACATCTCCAGGCATGAAAATGAGCAGCGACAAGGCCGGGCCGCCCACCGCCCCGATCCATCAGCGCTCACTTTACGGCCTCCACCTCCGGATCAATACAGCTGGAGGTGAGTGTGTTTGTATGGAAGCTCAGCCTGATTCACACTGAAAAAAGCGCCTCAGGATAGTCGATAAACAGCCGAAAACGGCGCTGATGAATGTGTGATAATCCTCATGGATTTATCTACAACTCTGAACGCTTCAAATTTCAGCTCGTACAGTCGACTGTAGCGGGTTTCTTTTGGACTTAAACTCCAGTTCAAACACATGAAGAGAAAGTCCAGACTGAAGTTTGACATCGAGGCAGATCGAAGCCTCCAGATCAAAGTTTTAGGAGCCTGTTGGTGTTTTTTAAAGGCAGATTTAAGTAAAAGAAAAAGGCAAAAAAATAAATACTTTGCTCTTATTTTACAGATTTTCCATCCTTTGTTAAATAACAGTTAATATGTAATGAAATCATAGCATTTTAATTCAGTATTTTTAAAACATTTGACTGTAAAATTACTACATTTTTACTGTATTTAAATCAGCAATAATATGATTGTTTATATGAACACTGGAGCTTAATATCACACTAAAGTTGGTTTAAAGGTTGAAGAAAATTCTGTTCACATTTATTTCGCGATGCTTTCATCTTGCAGCCCTGAGGCACCGTCCAACTCCGTCTACCCATCATGCTTTGCTTTCATTTCAGGCCATGGACTGTTTCTGACCTGCATTATCTCCACACTCCTAATGAAGGACACTGTGAAAACCGTCAACCAAATACATGTTTGGTGGTAAAAATTTAACGTTAGACCATTTAACGCAACACAAATCAAATATTGAAAGCTTTTACCAAACGCAACGAGAATCAAAAACACTCTTCTGGTTTCTGCTTTTGCGTCAGAGCGCAATTTGGTTTATTTTAAGCTCCCAGAATAGAGCTGTGAATCATTTTATCTGACTGAATCCCCTTCTTGGCTTGAAAACGCACACCTGCACTCTCGCACAAACACATATATTCTGCAGTGCTGTTGGATGGCTGCCCCTGACGAGATTTCCCTTTGGATATATGGGACCATCTGTGGGTTCGCCCCGGCTTTGTTTGCCGTCTGAATTAAATCCCGGCACCAGCCAGTAGATCACGACGTCCGAGTTAACACGGCTCACTGCAGCAGCAGCAGGTAATGCGATACACCCCAGAAGGCTGCAACAACTACATCAACACACCTCTGCTTTATGCACAGCACTCCAAACTTATCCTGAGGATCTTACCTGCTTTGTTTCAGAGTTTGCTGGACAAACTTGCTGCAGATCACTGATACTGTCCTAAAGGAGGACAGACTGTCAGCCAGACAAAGTCATCAGAAATACAAACTGAACTGTGTTCATGGCAGCAATTTACCTGAAAAACTGACCTCGACTTTAGTTTTACATTTAAAGGATAACGCCACCATCACTTTTATCCGTCTAATCTTAAAGAGAACTTTCCTAATTGGATGAAAATCCCTCTTTGATGACCATCTTCAGGCATCTGATTAGGCTGTCGAGGGTGATTGTATTGTAAGGACACCCATATCCGGAAGGTCCAGTCACTGACTGTGAATCAGTCACCTGGACAGTGGGGAAGTCAAACTAATCATAAGCTCTTAGGTTATCATTTATCATGTGTTTATTCATTTTATGTACATGTATCTTTGTAGCTAAGCTTAATTATGGAAGAGTCACCTCAGGGGTCAAAAGGTTTGAGGTCAACCAGAAAAGATGTGTTTGCACCCCTAAAATGTTTTTGTTTTGGAAAGATGGACTCAGCATTTCTAGCATGGTATGGACAACTATGCCATGAGGTTTATACTTACAACCTATTTGCAACAAGCTAATAGGAAGAGTTTGTGTTCGCTATAAATGCTGTTACATTCATGAGGAAGGCCACCAAGACTCCTATGACTCCTCTGAAGGAGGTACTAGAAGGAGACTAGTGAGGGAGGCCACCAAGACTCCTATGACTCCTCTGAAGGAGTTACAGCAGCTGAGATTGGAGAGACTGTTCATACAACTGTTGGTTGTTCTTCACCAGTCAAAGCTTTATGGAAGAGTGACAAAGAGAAAGACACTGTTGAATAAACCTCATATTAAATCTGGACTAGAGTTCACCAGTAGACATGTGGGAGATTCTGAAGTCAACTGGAAGAAGGTTCTTTGGTCTGATGAGACCAAAATTCAGCTTTCTGGTAATTACGCTAGATGCTATGTTTGGCAGACACCAAATATCTTCACAAACAAGACATCTTAATTGTAAAGCATGGGGGTGGCAGCATCATGCGGACATGTGGCCTCTGGATGGCTTGTAAAGACAGAGAGGACAAGAGAAGAGCAAAGCATAGAGCAATCCTGGAGGATAAACAGATGCAGTCTGCAGGAGAAGTGCCGCTTGGGAGAAGATTTGTTTTCCAGCAAGACGATGAACCGAAGCAAACAGTCAAAGATAAACAGAAATAGTTTAAAGACAACAAGGTGAATGTTCTGGAGGCCGAGTCAGAGCCCAGAGCTCGATCCAAGTCTCAGTCTCACACTAATTTGTCTCTGAGAGGTAGACGGTAAACATCACGTGTCCACTGTGTCTTTTCTGAGTCCTGGCAGAACAACATCCATATCTGAGACGTTGAAATGCTGTTTTCAACGTCTGAAAGAGGCTGCAGGGGCAGAAATCCATCCAGCTGTTCCTCACTGTGCTGTTATAGGACTCTGCTGATCCTATTAGTTAGTACATACACACTCATTAGAGGAGAAAATGACTCTACAGCTTTAAACACAAACACAGGCCACGACTTAAGACGACATTACACTGACTTACATAACCAGCAGCAGCCTAATCCCGACTCTGAACTTAAACCCAACAAACTGCAGGACGGTGGAGCTGCTCTGCCCTGAAATTAACACCAGAACATGGTCTTATTGAGTGTTACAGCTGATCCATCCTGCAGCAAAGAGACTAAATTAATCGCTCTACTGAAGACTTTATGGGTTTTAACGGAAAGGTCTTCGTTTTTTATGTCATTACAGTTTGAAATGCTCTCAAAGCCTGAACTTATAATCGTAAAACCTGTTATAATAAAGGGTGGTGTCAAGTAAATTATTCCAGTTTTATGCTTTTGAAGCT